TGTAATGTAATTCAATTATACGCCAGATAACATATCTAAGCATACAATGTACTTAATAATATAACATGGTATGTAGCTTTTGATTTGGCACGTCTGCAACATGACTCCTCTACTTCGTAATGTGCCAACTTAAACGCTGTGTTCTAATATAGTTCGTAATGCTTATATTATCTCGATTAACTATTATATTGATATAATATTACTAGCTGTCGCCCGCGACTCCGTCTGCGCGGGATTAAAAATAGATGTTGGCCGATTTTCAGACCTACTCAATATGCTCACAAAATGTTATGAGAATCGGTCAAGCCGTTTCGGAGGAGTATGGGAACGAAAATTGTGACACGAGAATTTTATATATAAGATTTCTAGCACTTTCTATACTTTATTGTTTAAACATTTTAGTATATAATTAATTTTTTTATATTTAGTTGATGAAATTCTTTCGTCGCACGCAAAATTTACATTGTCATAACGATTAGGAGAAAACATGACTCGTTTTCGTGTTTAAACGTCGTTAAAATTTAAACCATTTGTTTTAGTTTTACGTGTTGGATAGTGATAAAGTGTTTGCGTAAATTATTCATGTTTATAATAAGCAATTTATCTGTACAATAAAATACGTAGCTTATTTGAAACAATACAGATGAAATACTATTCAGATAAGATTTATGTTTTAAGAAAATTTTTACAACTTTAATAAGTCACATTTTCGCAAACTTTATTATAATAAAAATGGATTTCTTTACGAAATAGATTTATTTATATTAATAAATCCTAGCCGAAAGTTAAATAAAATTCATAGTGTCGGTATTTTATCTCCGATTTACATTTTAAACCGGATTGAATTTCACTGTCAACATAATTTGTAATTTACATTTTGTTTGAGTAGCAGTCGTTTGTCATGAATAAATTATAGCCAATGTACAGACACAGAATCAAATTAGTTTCCCACTTAGCATTGAATACTGTACAGACTGTCACTGTAATAGCACACATGAATAATGCCATGATAACTTTTCGAACTGCATTGTGTGTACGAAATGGGTAGGAAATAAACGTCTTTGACTATACTCGATGCCACAAACTTTGTTTAAACGAGAGCACTCATAAACCGCAACGCCGCTGCGACTGCGACACTCATGAATATGAACGTTGACCCTCGTTCATGACTAACGAAAACCTCTCTGCAGAATAAAAAATAACCTCTCCAGTTCTCAATCCCTGCTGCTGGAGATAGATGATATTAATCGTTTGGAAGAAGTAAAAATAATTGAGCAACCGAGTGAGACAAACAAAGAAACAAAATCGTAAAGCATTTTAGAGGCAGTACCAGGCCGGCATAAGCGCGCACGTCATAAAAAAGTTACGAGGAGTTATCAAAAGGGCGCAGTAAACCCGGCCTCGTCGCCGCCGCCTTATAACCTGCTCGTTGAAGTAATCGTATCCTTGTTGCTCTGTTATCCTAGTACCGCAGGAATATTACGCTCGCCATGTTGAAATTGTTTTTTTAACTTGGATTTCTTTAGCGTCGTTAATTTTGCGTTTACTTTTTTTATTTATTAATTATGCATATATTATGACTGTTTTAAAAAGTACAGTAGAAAGAAAAAGTCAAAAACAAAACCAAAAAGATACAGCAGAATACATTTTTTTATAAAAACAATAAAATCTTTCACATTGTAAATAAAATAAAATATCAAAGAATAAATTAAAAATAAGAATGCAATTTTTCCGGCGAAGAGTATGCTCAAATTTACTCAATTTTATAAATTGTAATAAATATGCCTAACTTTGGCACTAAGTATGCGTCTAGGTTTATACCGAGCTGCGCGCTGGTACTTCGGCCTTATCTCCGAGATTTTATGACTATTTTACGATTATTGCCTCTCCGAATCGGTAATAACTCCTTACGATATGAAATTTCTATAAAGGAATCATTTCAAATGGATATGTTCATTTAAGTCTTTTTATAAGCCTCGAGTTAAATTTTATTATAACGAATCGTACTCGTTATAACATCGAAGTGTTAAAAGGAAATGGTTATTAATAACAAGCATTTCCGTTAACGACAGTCGTAATTAAGTAGTGGATCGGAATTCTAAAATTCAATTTACATGTAGATGTGAGCCTTGTTGAATATAATGATTAACAGTTAGAAAAGTCTTCGTTTGGCTTTATAATTTGTCTTATTAACTGCCTAGGCGTACATGCTTTCCTATAAAATGGTTTTTACATAGGTTTGTGATAAATAAATTGATAAAAAACTTTTAAGAATAGTTAGCTGCGACGTGTGCACAATATATTTTATGATGTATAAATTAGTAAGAAGTATCTTGTGATATGCCTACTTCCTTGTTGTTTTGGAGCACGTTTAAGTGGGAAGATAATATATTGTACAGATATTCGTGCTGTCTATGTGCAATATGTGTGAGCGTATCATGTTGCTGTTGCAGGGCTACAATGGTGTGTGCGCGTGCGGCGCTGCGGGGGGCGGGCGCGGCGAGCCGGCGCGCATGGCGGCGCCAATGAGGGAGGGCGCGCCGGCCGGCGGAGCTCGCCCCGCGCCCCTCGCGCCCCATGCGCCCCATGCGCACCCCGCACATCCCGCACACCCCGCCAACTTCGAGTATGATGATAACGAATGGGACATCGGCATCGGCGACCTAATCATAGACCTCGATGCCGACATAGAGAAGACGGACGAGGCGGGCGGCATGGCGGCGCGCGCCGAACCTGACGCGCAGCGCACCGCGCTCAAGATGAAGATCAAGCGCACCAAGCCCGGCACCAAAAGCTCCGAGGCCAAGCACGAGATCGTCAAGTCGAACGAAATGAATGGCGAGCCGAAGACCGCGGCGGCAGCGGCGGCTGCGGCAGCTGCTGCGGCTGCAGCGGCCACGTCGCCAGCAGTCGCCAAGCGGGGCTCGGGGGGCCACCGGCGCGACAAGGCACGGGAGAAGCACCATCACCCGCACCCGCCCCACGACGTGAACGGAGTAGCGCGCGTGCCGCCGCCGCCCAACGCGCCTGGACCGCCCGCGCCAACTGCGCCGGCTCAGCCGCAGGCAGCCGCGCCCCCTGTTAAGCAGGAGGCGCGCCCGCCCGCGCCGCGCCCTGAACCCAAACCCGCCGCGCCGGCCGCGTCGCCTGCTCCTCCTGCGAGTTCGCCCGCGCCAGCGCCGCATACACCCCTACCTCCTTCGACACATGCGAACCATGCATCGCACGTGCCTCATTCACCTCACACACCGCATGCGACCCATGCGTCGCATGCGCCCCACATGCCTCACGCGCCCTCGCCCGCCGCTAAACCAGAACCGGACGACTCGCGGCAGGAGGCGAACACCGCGCAGCCACCCACTAAGAAACAGAAAACTGAACCTAAGGTGAGTTACATTTCTAATACAAGAAAAAGAAACTCCAAGACAATTTATTAGCAGGCAGTCCATGAATCATATGACGTTGTTTTCAATAACATAGGGATTGAAGCCTTAGAATTTCAAGTAGGAACCAAACAGTGATCAATGTTAATTTTACTTACTAAAATGTTCAGGTTTTCTGAAACAAATCGGATGCATGTCTCAGGAAACATGACTTGACTGCGTGATTTCATTAAATGTAGTCTTTAAGTAATGTAATAAGATAAATGTAAAGAACTAACAAAACCATGAGTAGTAGTAAAAGATAAATGTCACATAAGCTAGTTGTTTGCGCTGCATGTTGTTACATCGTGTTGTATTAATGTAATCAGTGACGTCTTCTATCGTAACGTACACTTATCGAGAGACCTTGATCTAGATGTTGATTAGTAAACAAGCGAAGCGGCTGACACGAGCACGAGGGCATTTCAATCAATGCGACTTTATCGATAACAATATAATCGAAGACTAATTGTCTCGATTGCGCTTATCGGCCGTGTATCCGATTGTTTTGGACTAGTGTATTTAATTGTTGGGGCTTAGGGCTGTTTGCGAGCTTGATTGAGTGCAAACTCTCGTGGGGTGTAATCCGCGCCTGTCGCCCGCCGCCCGCCGCATCGGTTCATTAAATCGACCAAACCCCCCACTACTCCCTGCTGCCGGCCCCTTGCCACCTCACACTCGCACCGAACGCTCGGCCGTAACAATAGCCGCCTCCGTATACAAATTAATGCTATTGTGGTTTCCGTGGCTAATAATAATAAACTTTGTCTGTTACGTTTATGCAAATGCGTGCAAACTATTCGGATAAATGGACGTATATCTAAACAGAATAGGTTTGATGCATTACACTATATTAAAGCCATATTTTATCCCCTTTGTTATGAATGCACGTCTGTAATTTTTATTTAGGAATATTAAATACTATTAAAATAAAAACAGTATCCGCTAAGTCGTCCTTACTTACAATTTGATGGCTAATTAAAAATCTTCGGAATTATAAAAATCGAAGATCTGCGTAAACTTTAACTTGAATCATAAAACATTTATCTTATCTTATATCTTTAAATGAGCAATTCTTATATATATATATATATAATCTCGGAATCGGCTCCGACGATTTTCATAAAATGTAGTATATAGGGGGTTTCGGGAGCGATATATCGATCTAGCTAGGAATATTTTTTTAAAAATGTCATTTTATTCGTGTTTTATCGATAATCAACTTAAACATAAACTTAACTTTTTCTATCGGTAAGATCGAAAAATATTATTCATATTTCATCATTTTATTAGTAATTCGTACTTAAATATAATTTACAAAAAACATAATATAAAAAAAATACCGATCATCCAGATTTTATATGAAAATCAGTTATTTTAATTTAACACAAATATTAATAACATTGAAGTTGAATCTTCATCAATAGCTCGAAAAATATGTAACAAAATCATCAAAATTATATTATATTTATATCATTAATCAAATTAAAGTATTGAATGAAAACGTCGTGAAAAAAACCTTTGAAAATAAATGATGATTATTACGAAGATATTTTACGACTATTGAATATTCTGCATAGGGTGAAATGAAATTGGCGAGAACTTAAGATGGAGGGTTCTCACCCTACTTTCTTAGTATGTATAATTCTATAGAAGGGGAACAAACAAGTACAGCCGCCTGGTAAAGTTATTTAATTTATCACTGTCGAGTGCTTTAAAGAATTCCAAAACGCTTACGAAATCAATTTCACTCCCAAGTAGTGAAGTTTATAAAATCATTTTTATTTAAAAACATCTATCCGTTCAAGAGTTCTTATCTAGAAAGTTTACCCTTGAATTATGTTATTTAAAAAAAAATCCCCTATTTGAAAATATAACAACATTAACAGAAATATTACCATTGTTCGCGTCTTATATGAAAACTATCGTCAAATGACCTATTATTATTACGAATGCTACCGATAGGGGTCGCACCCTTGTCAATAAAATGTTTTTCGATTATAAATCGAATACTTAATCCCGCAAAACGAATGAAAGCAAATATTCGTTCTATTAATTTGTGGTTCTTGGCAATGAGTCTGGTTTAGAAATGGAACTGGCGTTATGAAATGTGAAATATTTCTATTTTGCTTTATGATGCCCTATTTAAAGATATAAGATTAAAGTTCTAAACTCCTGGTAACTCGCTGTTACTTTATGAATAAAAATTCCCTACTTGATGACAAATTCATATAAAATTTATTTCTAAAATCTTATAATTAAAAGAAACAATATTAACAACCTTCGTGTTTAAAAAAAAACTTTAAAATTGAAATGTTCTGTAACGAATTACTTTTTCAATGTTAAATGTTCAGCCTATGTTAATTGATAACACGCTCGATCTTTTCGTATTATGCCAGATACAATTTATACAACCCTAATGACCTTTTTTTATATTTCAATAAAAATTAAAAGAAAAAAATTCAAAAATGGTGCGAGACCATCGTGCGTTCTTCGAAATTTTATGTATAACATGTTCACATCATCTCGAACGAGGTTAATAGCGCCCACCGCCGATTATACTGATCGCCGTGAATAAATTTCCATGTTAAATAGGGCTGGTGATCAAAGCTTTAGGGCTGTCAACTTTCAATAAAAGCAGTCCCAAGACTGGTGACAAAAAACGACCAATAATCTCTTGTCAACAGTAGTCCTTACAGACTATAAACATACGAAGACCAGTCCTTTGTTTTATACTTCTCATTTTAATCTGAAGATGTTTATGCCTTGTGGAATCCCGAAGTAGTGGCAGCCCTATCAGACTACGTATCGATGTATCAACCTATCACGCATCGAAAGTGCTCTTAGCTAATTGAATTAAGTATTCATGTTGATTTTTAATTGCTTTCATGAATATTCAAAACATATTTTTATCCTTATAAACGATTTATGTGAAATATAAGATTGGTTTAAGTAGTAAGTTTTTATCAAATTTGGTTTTAAAACTTGATACATTAAGATAAAAAGAACTTTGTAATGTATAGAAAAATTAGCGATTTGTTACACGAATAATCACGTACTTTTATAATTTGTCGGATTCGACTGGACGCATGCTGTCTTTGTTTTTATAAAGAGAATGAAAGAGATAACAATATCTTGTTATCTCTTTCATTCAATGTCATGTCAACACGTATAATTTGTACGATCACATTATATATAAAAATGTTTATAGATATTTTTATACTTCTCGATTCAATTCTCATAAATGTAATGGGAATGAGTTATGTTATTATGTTAAGGCATGAGATATTAGTATCTCGTCGACGTGTTTGATAAATTCAGTAGAATTTTTCGCTCCAACGAGTATTTACATCGGAGAACGGACGTATCGTATTACAGCCTCGAGCGTAGCATCATTCATTTAACGAAGCCTTGGCGAAAACGACCTAC